CGGCAACGGTTGCTAAGGAATGCCCAAATTCCTCGCGAGAAACTTGAAAATCCTGAAAAAGGTGCTCCACGGGGACAACGATTTTGAGCGTATTTCTCAACCGATTGAGCTCAACGAGTGCTCGTTTTAAAGATAAAATGTTGACGTGTGTTTATATGGGAGCGATTTTCGATCGAGCACCTCCTTCCTAGGTAAAAGGGCATTGAAATTATGTCGTTGCACTTTTTTATATGAAAATGACCACTTATCGAAAATCGCTCCCATATAAACACAGGTCAACATTTCATCTTCGATATGAGCACTCGTTAAGCTCGATCGGTTTAGAAATACGTTCGGAATCGTTGTCCCCGTGAGGCCCTGCAAAATCGCTGGAGTGGTGAGCGCCCTTAACGACGTCAAGATTCAGGAAACTCGCGTCCAATATTTCGTTGGAGAGGACAAATGTCGCTGAGAGCACCCCTCGTCGCCGGCATCCCGGTCTTCCTGTGGGATACAAGGTGTCCGAGGACGCAATTGTTCAAGGATCGTGACAAATGTCGTTCATTGTCCGGGCAGATCCACCTGTTCTGCTCCCATTTTTCCCTCGCCTCCCCTGTCGTTTTCGCAGTCGCTTCGGCCGGCAGCGAATCGACAGAAAATAATTGACTGTCTGTCCACAAGGAGGACAAAGGGACTGGTGGAGGTTTTTTCCTTCGTCGCTCCGCCCGATATAAGTGGCGACGTCGGGACGAATTTCCGCTCCTAGGATTCTGGTTATTTTCTTTAACCCCCCGGCGAGCTCGTACCTTCCTCTCTCCTCAAACCGAGGAACCAATGAATTTCTTTAAACGTGCAATCGGCTTTTAAACGATCCGTTTATCGAGCCGTGTTCGAGCGTCTTTCGATAACGCCAGATATTACCCAGTCAGCACGAGCCTTATCAAAATGCGCAAGTAACGATTCGAGTGACTCCGGCACCTGATTTCTTTCTTACATTTGTGCCCATAATTATGAAAGTGGTCTAAGTCAAAATTAAAAAAAAAAAATGAGTTTATCAGTTATTTCACGCCATATTATTTCAAATGAAATTAATTCAATGTAATTTCGAAACAAAAAATATATGACTTAGGCCACTTTCATAATTATGGGCACTGTGCCCATAATTATGAAAGTGGCCTAAGTCGAAATTTAAAAAAAAATGAGTTTATCAGTTATTTCACGCCATATTATTTCAAACGAAATTAATTGGTGTTGGCACCCAGGAGAAAAATCCTGTAAATATCTTGACTATTTAATGTGCATATATGACGCTTTTACAACGCCTTATTTGGTGTTAACGCCAGATTAGCAGAATATAGTTTGCGAAGATCCAGTCGTGGCACCCAGGAGAAAAATCCTCTAAATATTTTGGCTATTTAATATGCACATATGACGCTTTTACAACGTCTTAATCGGTGTTGGCGCCAGATTAGCAGGATATAGTTGGCGAAGATTCAGTCGTGGCACCAGCAAAGACCGGCGTCGAGACCAAAGGACGGCCGGAAGCATCGGAAGGGAAACTCGACGCTCAAGGGTTGAGTCAAGAATTTCCCCCCGTCCGGGCGAGTGGCAGCCTTTGACGCGAGAACATGGCCGAGGGCTGTTTAGCTCATTCGCCGTTCACCTGACTTACCGTTCTGCTCCCGACTGCTTTTCATGTATCCTTAGTTATGCTTCCTTCGGAGCCACCCTCCGGCCAGGCTGGCTGCTTCCCGCCGCCATTTTCTCGGCTCGACACGCGCCAGCTAATCGACGCCTTTCGAGGAGTTCCTTAGTAGAATTAACCCGATCCAAGGGCGACATCTTGGATCCCGCGGGTCGGAATTGGATGCGATTAGATCGGAGAGAAATCCTCGCGCCCGATTACCCGCCCAGCGGGGGGTAGCAAAATGTTTGATGCCACTTTAATTAGTCTCCTAATGAAGTTTGATCCGGATCCGCGCGCCGCCATTTTCCCATCCGGCGTACAGGATCTCAATTAAAGTATTCCCCTGCAAGAAGGATATTTAATCTTCCATTGTGCAGTTTACCCCACGGCAGGACAAAATATTAGATGCCATCTCGAGGATTTCATCGCTGGAAACAAATTATTTCCGATTTAAGCGACATTAAGATCTATTTCGTGGCGCTGCTGCGAATATTACCGTAACGAGGTGTATCAGCATTCCCTGAATTTCTTTTTTTTTATTACAAATCACTGGATTCGGAACGATAACGTCTGTTAGAGAATTACGTATGACCTGTAAATAACGAATAACAACCGCCTATATTGGATTAACGTTTCATGAATTTTTATTCCATTTTCCAAAATCATCCTCGCGTGTACCGGATTGAGTCTAATGTCGCATGATAATTAATAGTTATTCTGAGCGAAAGGGAATAGTGATTTAAAAATAAAAAAATGTCTAGCCGGAGGGCACGAGTAACCAGGAACCGAGGGCGAGATTGGAGAGGGATTCGTCGGCAATCTCGAAGTCGGAATTTGATTTCGTCGTCCAGCGAGTGGCGACTTTTCCCGGGACTCGCGCGTCCGTTTCCGGGGGCCTCGATGAGGCTCCTTTGTCGGAGGATCCAGGAGAAATTGCGGTAAAATCGAAGAAGTCTGGTCCCCCGTGCAATCCTGGAGCCCATTTGGGCTCTTCCGGTCGGACGGCCGCGGTAACATCTGCCGAAGTCGTAGGAATTATGTCCCCCAAGAGGAGCTCTCCATTAATGCTCGGGAAATTTCATCGCGCAGGGCAAACACCCCAGTTTCCTCGTAGAAGGGAGAACCTCGATGGTTGTGTTTACTTAATTGGTTTCCAATAAGGACACTGTCCTGGTGAGTCCCGAATTTGCGACTCGACGGGTCTAAAGGAAATCCCATCTCCCATGAACTACTTGAAGAACACAACGATTGAAAAAAAAAAGAAAATTTCTTGAGTTCACAACATTTAATTTGAAATTCTAAGGTACATGGAATAAAAAAAAATCCAATGGTGGTTCTTGATTCGACCCCCCTTCGCTAAAAAACGTAGCCCTATACGGAAACGATACACTCCACCGACCATCAAACGTACCACACAAACCATGCAGTCTTAAGGTCAAGTGAAACACGTCAAGGAACTTGATCAACGTCGATAAAGAAGATTCTTCTAAATGCCTCCGTTGCCGACGTTCGTTTTTATATTGACAGCTGGGTCGAATTACATTGAATTTTGTACCAAATGGCATATTCCACCTGTCGTTTTCGTACAATAATTATAAAGAAATCGAAGTGAAACTCCAGAAATCCTCTGGATTCAAGCTTTCTGGGGCCCTAATTGACTGCAGAGGGACCCCCTGCGCCATCTGTGATTTCCAGGTCAATTAAATTTTCACTCCGAGACCTCGTATTCCCATCGTTTTAGCATAGAAGCGCATACAACACTTTTTTGCCTTTATCCTGTTCAAATGCGAGTTTATCGATTACCAGAGTGTTCTAAATTCTCGTAAAATTGTCCTGACCCTTTCGATTCTCATATCAGAGCCTTTGATAATTGTATATTGATCGAAATATGAGAGCTCGACGCCATTTTGGTTCTGGTCTGGGCTGAGTTAAAAAATTTGGTTAAAAAATCCAAATTTTGAATCAGTGTCAGGACAATTCTTAGACGATCAGAAGTGATGTGTCAAAGTTTCGGACAGTTTGGTCTAATACCCTTAAAAAAAAGTGTTGTATTCGAATCGACTGATTTGAAGGGGGTTTCACTTCGCCTTAATACCTAGACATCTTTTAAAAAGGGGCACCTAGTAACATTAACCGGAGATTTTCTTGAACGTTGCGGATCGATGAAGCGTAATCGAAGGGCCTCATCGATTCGCCAAACGGGCGGATCGACGTCCCCCATTATATTATCAAGGCCGTCCACTTTCATTTCCTCGACGGAGAGGTAACACGTCGTTCAAGGCCTCTGGAAGGTGAGGTTGCACCGGAGGTCTAGAGAGAGAAGGAGCTCGGTAGGAAATCCGTGAAGAGATCGATGCGACCGCTCGGACTTTCCGTCGTCCTTTTCTCGGGGCTCCTTTAATCTGCTTCCGAAAGAACGAGGCCATTACCAGGAGGATGGTGCCGGAACCGCCATTAGGTTCCTTCGCTCCGTAGCCCAACCTCTCGAGTGACACCCTTAACGAGGGGAATCCTTGCCCGGAGACGCTCTTGCGAGGATCCTTGCGCGTGTTCGCTTCCTCGCATTTTTTCTTTCCGCTTTCCATTTAATCGCTCCTCGTTTTCAATCGATACGTTTTCCTACCCCTCTTTCCCGACGCTTTGCAATTCCGCAGGGCACTGTGCCCATAATTATGAAAGTGGTCTAAGTCGAAATTTAAAAAAAAATGAGTTTATCAGTTATTTCACGCCATATTATTTCAAACGAAATTAATTCTATTAATTATGGGCACTGTGCCCATAATTATGAAAGTGGTCTAAGTCAAAATTAAAAAAAAAATGAGTTTATCAGTTATTTCACGCCATATTATTTCAAACGAAATTAATTCAATGTAATTTCGAAACAAAAAATATATGACTTAGACCACTTTCATAATTATGGGCACATATGAAGGTAATAAGGAAGGTCCCGACCCCCATGAAATGTCAATTAAAAAAAAATCTAAGAAATGAAAAAATTATTTATATAACATGAAATTTTATGTCATGTGTTTGATATCTGCGGCCACTTTCACGTCGCCTTAAAGAATAGATGCTCTGGACAATAACGTCGGGATTAAAGATTTCACGAGGGATTTTCCCCGGTCGATCGAAGAGCGGCGTCGCCGGCGCCGAGTGGCGTCTAGGCATTCAACAGGTACGTACGACTGCCCGATTTATTCTTCCCCCCGCGTCCCGCGTTTCGTCTTGGTTCCAGAATCTGCGCCCCGCCAAATCCGGCGGCGCGGCGCAGCGGCTCAGCGGCGCTCGGCGCTCGCGAGCCGGCTCGGGTCAGTTCCCCGTCGACCGCCGAGCGTGGCGGACCGAGTGCGCGCGCCTGCCTAGCCCGGAGTACCGACTCCCGGCGACCCGTGCTCGCCGCGCCGCGATTGGCTGCCGCCGACTCGCGCTCGACCAATCGCGTCGCGCCAGCCGGTCACGTGACCGCCTAGTTCGCGCTTTGCCGGTTCGAACCTGTCGCCGACGTCGTGGAGTGTTTTCGCCCGGTTTTTTTTCGATCGTTCCACGTTGGATCTGGGCGTGAAGAAGGTTTATTTATGAAATAAACGTTCCGAGGGCCAGTCGAGATTGACGCTGAGGGATAAGTGCGATCTCGAAGGAGTTTCCACTGGGTAAGTTTTCTTTAGTATTTTGACCTGCAGCCTCCGAGGAGAGAATCCGGTGCTCGGTCACTGGCCGGCGCTCTTTCTTTTTCTGGTTCGCCTTAACCTCACTCTCGCGGCGGGTTTTTTCTCTTTCCATTCTGCCCTCGACTTTCACCGAAGCTTTTCCCGCCGGGCGGGGGAAAATTGTCGGTTATCGTTTGCCTGGAGGGAATTTTTTTTAAGGACTTTTCAAAGGGTCGTTCTATGTATGTCGAAACGACGAAATATTGTAAAAGTCTATTTGTCTATTTTGCAAAACCGTACCTATGTAATAGCGAGTAATTTCATGGAAACAATGAAGTCAGGTAATTTTGCCAAGTTTTGGTTGTCGATACTTTTTGACTTACTTTGATGTTTTCCGACATTACCGATAAGGGTCGGTTACATCAACCGCGATTACCGGGATGTTCCTTAAACCAGGATCTGTTAATCCCGGATTAGGGAAATTATGCACTCAAAGGAATTGTGATAATCGAAGGTTAATATCCGCCGTTAGGTAACCTTCCTAAATCCAGGGATTAACTCTAACCGCGCGTTAAGTAATCTTTGATTAAGGGTTTTAATTCGAGTTTGGAGCAACCGGCCTTTAATGTACCGTTTCGTCATTACACGATTCACTTGGACTAAGGAATTTGTTTATATGTTCTACATCTGTAAATATATTAAAATGAGGAAAGTAATATCTGTACTAATTCCCGTCAGGTAAATTTTTTTTCCTTATTTCTTTTACCCAAGGTTTCAAGAAATGGAAGAAAAAGACATTTATTTGTATACCTTTTCTTACAATTAATTGCTATTTGTATTTACCCTGTGTCAGTATTAAACGTTTCGTTGGCGCGTTATTCTCTCGGTCGATTCTTGTCACCCGAGGAAGTAGAAAAAGAAGTTTCACTTCCGGCACGCGGTCGCTTTATTTTTAACCCTTTAGTTACGAAGCGCCACTATAGTGGCCCGTGCATTTCCATCTTCTCAAAGAAACAAATCAACGAATGTTCATATAAAATAGCACAGCCGAATTATCCGTACCCTGAGATAAAAAAAAGGAAATGTCCTTGGACCAAAGAAATATTTGAATAGAGCCAAAGAAATATCTTGTGAGTTCCAAGGATGATTATTAGTCTCGGATAAATTGTCGCAATTCCAAATAAATGTTACGTGCAATTTATTCCAGTGTATATCGGTCGAATATTAATTCTTTGAATTAACAGTGTGTGTCCTTGGTCCGATGTCATCCTTGTTCTGGGGGTACTGGTGGACATCTCCGCGTAGTTAAAGGGTTAAAAAAAATCTTTATGGGATATCGTCTCCTTATGGCGGTACCGAAACTCCCATCGGAGGAATATTATGCCCGAGTCACTCCGCTCGCCCTAATGACTTTCCAGTGAGAAACGGGATATGGACTCCGGGAAATTGCGCGGTAACGACGCAATTTGTACCGCGGGGGGAGCAAAAACCGCCCTTTGTCGGGAATCCATCTACAGGGTCATGCCGTATGTGGGTGACTTTTCTTACGTATGGTTTTTGGTCGACAATCCGACGGCCACTTGTCCCGGCGACGGTGGAGCAATTTTACGGCGGGGTATAAAGTGGAAATTTCGAGCAGACCGATTTTATTGCCTTCCGGTACTCGCGATGTAATCTCCCCCGATTCCCTTAACGTCCCTCGTCCGGGTCTTCGAGTTGTTTGCGAAAGGATGAGATCCTTGATTTTTAATTACATATATTTTTATTGTATTTTTATGGTATATTAATTACAGTGATATTTTTTATTGTATATTAATTGCAGTGGTATTTTTATTGTATATTAATTACAGTGGTATTTTTTATTGTATATTAATTGCAGTGGTATTTTTATTGTATATTAATTACAGTGGTATTTTTTATTGTATATTAATTACATATATTTTTATTTTTGTGCGCTCCAGTTAATTCAAGTGCGCTAAACAGGCCAAACTGTGCACACTCGAGATAATCCGAGCAGCGTTGTATTTTATGCTATAATTCTTCACCCTCGAATATAATCGAGAATTTTATTTTTTTTTGCCAAGACAATGTTCCTGTTTTTTTTTACATACAAAAAATGGATTTTTTTCGGCCGATTTTTTTCAAAAAATCTGTGCGTTAAGGGGTTAATCATACCGGCGTTATTGCTGGATACTCCTCATATCATTTATCACGGTTCCTTGAACCGATGTCCCTCGTCCCTTTTTTCTAGTCGATTACGCGTATCAGCGAAGTACCATTTTCATACTTTTAACAGAGCCGAGAAGTGATGGAAAGATTGAATACAAGGAAAAGACACAGCTTTACTCGTATGCCTCGTCGTAGATGGATTATGCAAATGTTAGGCTGATTTACCGTCTCCCCTACTTAGGCGAGGCCGCTAATCGCTCGTTAAACACTCTTTATCTCGAGTGCGACGATTGCCACGAGGTTGGCTCTCTTTATCGCAATGCCGATAACCGCTCGGCAAGTCGAGGCTTTTTGTGTTTTAGGAGGATTCGTAATTGCGAGGTTTTGACGTTTCGATAGTATCCCTCAGGATCGAGAAGTGGAATCGATTATTGAGGAGGGTCGGGGCCGGAGGGGAAATATTTTTTCTCCCCCCTAACGATTGTTTCCTCGCCCCTCCCCCCCCTTTTGCACGCGTTGTACTCGCGAACGGGTCATGGAAGTGTGTATCGTTTTGCGCAACGCGAGACGGCAAATATTTGACGGTTAAATAGCAGAGTACATTCGGATTAAAGGGAAAAACGTTTGGCCCGTTCGGCGTTAACGGACGCGAGAGCGAATAGGGGGAGATGACGAGAAAAAACCAGAAAAAAAAAAAAAAGACGGAGAAATATGGAAACGCCCCCGAGTATTTACTTTTGCAACGTGCCAGCCCGTTGTTCTTTGCTCTTTGTTCGACTTTTACCTCGTGTTTATTTTTCACGACATACAGAGTACTCGCGCCGTTCCGATTGTCGGGGAAAATGTGTACATGTAGGACCTCGCTGTATCAGGAACTCGGAGATGAGGTTGGACGTACCTCGGATCGTAGACAAAGTTGGGTACATGAAATTCAAATTGATCCGGTGGGAGGCGATCTTTTTGTTATTGCGATTTTTTTTTTTTTTTTAGATAATTTTATAGTTGGGTACATGAAATTCAAATTGATCCGGTGGGAGGCGATCGTTTTGTTATTGCGATTATTTTTTTTTTTTAGCTAATTTTATAGTTGGGTACATGAAATTCAAATTGATCCGGTGGGAGGCGATCGTTTTGTTATCGCGATTATTTTTTTGTAGCTAATTTTATGAACGTATATGTATCTTTTCTTTTTGTTGCAATTTTATACACGCGGCAGAGCTGTACCGTATCATTTCTCAAGGACCATGACACGGGAATGGGAAGGATCGAAATAAATCCTGAGATATGTTATCTTTTATTGTTCGATTTTTCAAGTTGTTTCGAGGAGTCCGGAAATTGAATTTCTGCCCGTTGATTAGAATCAGGAGGAATCGTCCGAGAGTCCTGCGGGATGCACGCGAGTCCTCGCGAATCCTTGTATCCTGGATCACGGGGAGGATATCTCTATAATCGCAACTCCTTTCCGGGATTGCACGCGAGTTCCACGTCTCCTGGAAACTGCAGCATCCCGAAGCGAGAAGATCGAGATTCGGCCTGCACGCGATGTCGTGCAGGCCATTTCTCCCGGGATTGCCGTGTAATGCAATAATTAAACGAGGACTCGTCTTCGCGCTTCCTCGAGGCTCTGATTTCCATATTCAAGGAAGAATAGGGAGGCGAAAGGGGTCCCTCGATTTTCGATATTTTCCTTATTTATTTCTATTTCCACCACGAGGAAGAAGAGATTTCTTTGATCCGTTCCTGGATTTTTGGAATTTTTCCCTATTGATTTATTTATTTTTTGTTAGGTGACGACTATTTCTTCGATTTTATGCCGCGGTTTCATTATTTCCACCATGAGGAAGAAGAGATTTCTTTGATTCGTTCCTGGATTTTTGGAATTTTTCCCTATTGATTTATTTATTTTTTGTTAGGTGACGACTATTTCTTCGATTTTATGTCGCGGTTTCTTTAACTCCGTTCGAAGATTTCTTTTATCCATTCCTGGATTTTTGGAATTTTTCCCTATTGATTTATTTATTTTTTCTTCGGTCACGACTATTTCTTCGATTTTATGCCGCGGTTTCTTTAACTCCGTTCGAAGATTTTCCTTATTTATATCTATTTCCACCACGAGGAAGAAGAGATTTTTTTTATTCATTCCTGGATTTTTTGAATTTTTTCCTATTGATTTATTTATTTTTTGTTTGGTAACGACTATTTCTTCGATTTTATGTCGCGGTTTCTTTAACTCCGTTCGAAGATTTTCCTTATTTATAACTATTTCCACCACGAGGAAGAAGAGATTTTTTTTATCCATTCCTGGATTTTTGGAATTTTTTCCTATTGATTTATTTATTTTTTATTAGGTGACGACTATTTCTTCGATTTTATGCCGCGGTTTCTTTAACTCCGTTCGAAGATATAATGTTTTTATCAGGGCGGGAGGATATCCGCATTGCTCGGAAAACTCGGCCGCGATATATCAAAGTTCTACCCCCTGGATTAATTCATTTCCCCGTGTACCGGTGTGTCTATTCATATGGCGGGCTTTTCGATTATCCCTCATCGCGCACCCGCGACATTCGCACACGCGATATTTTGCAATCTCCCCCGGGATTATCGCGAAATGTGGTAATTACCGCCTCGTCTAGTTTTCCCGATGCCAGGGGACGCTGTCATGGAGGAAATCCCTGGGTTTATGTTCCCAGACACGCGTACCGGGTGCTCGGGCAGACAGCCCGAAGACATATTTTTCATCTTTAAATCAAAATCGAGGCCTTTTTCGGAGACACGTTTATTTTTTATATCCTTCAGAGAGTCTCCTGTTATCTGAGGAACTCGCAGGAATTTTT